CCGAGGCCACGCGGTGACTGCACCTTTGCTAGGCCCCAGGGCAGATGGGAGAAGCCAGGCGCAGAGGCAGGGCAGTCTGTCTGCAGAGCCCAGCTTCGTCCTGCCTCCTGATTCCCGCCTGTGATCTGCTAAAACAGAGTCCCTCCCTGCCACCTCTCATTCCCCGCCCAGAGGAGCACTGTTTTAAGACCATGTGAACAAAGATGTGTCCCGCAGGGGCTTCTATTTCATATACACGAATAAAAGCACGCTGAACTAACAGCACATGCAGGTTGGACCCCAAGGTTCATCGACACGATGAACCTTTCTCAGGACACCAGGGTCGGGAAGGCAGAGGTGTGCCTTGTGTGGGACCTGAATACTGAGATAGTTGCTTCCAAAGGTAAGAGAGCAGCGCCGGCCCCTCTACGTCAGGCCTTCCTCTGAACTTTCTGTGGCTAACTACTTTGGGAACCATTCACGGTAGGCGTCTGGCCCAGTGCTGCCTTTTGTTGGCATCTGACCTGGGAAATGCCCAGCTGAGCCTACGCCTAAGCCCAGCCGAGCCTACGCCTAAGCCCAGCCCCATTACCCTGCAGACCCACCAGCTGGTTCCTGGGAAACTCAGATAGGCCTGCCCCCCCCCCCGCCCTCCGAGTCCTCATCTTCAGCCTCAACTACTACTCAGGAGGCTGAGGCAAGAGGGTGTGTGAGCCCAGGAAACCCAGGACCCCAGAGGAAGACGGACAGAAAGACAAAACCAAAGTCAAGGCTGAGCTCTCCGGGAAAGGGTGCGGGGTAGTTCCCTCGGCTACCTGGTGTCAGAGATCTCCTCCTCCCTCAGTCCCCTCTCTAGGTGTGGCCTGGGGAGCCCAGGCGGGGTGGGGTAGGGAGGAGGTTTCTGTGCTGCACTGGTCAGAGGCATTGCTCCTCCCTAGGTCCCCACCTTCTGATCTGCTCAAGGCCAGGCCTGGGCACCGCCTGCCAGCACTCTCCGCCAGGCTCTGCACCACCCTCACTGCCCCACATGAGTGCTCTGCCTCCATCCTGCAGGGACCCTGCTGGACACCTAGCCAGTCCTGTCCCTTCAATCCCAGATGTGGCCATGCTGGACTGCAGTGATGTCTTCCCACGGAACCACAAAAGCTCAGGATCTGCCCCCGGCAGAGGGCGCAGCCCAAAGGAGGCAGCTGTCTGCTGAAGTCAGGAGGGACCCACTGCCTGGGAGCCTCGCCCACCTCTGCCCATGTCGCTCGCTGCAGCTGTGCTCGCTCACGCCAGCCCCGCTCCCACTGGGCGAGACGGAGTCTCTCACCGTGAGCTCCAGCAGGGCCATGGCCACCTCACCATGTCCTGGAGGTACCCTCAGAACAGAATCACCAACCTCCACGTTCTTGTGCATATGGTGCTAGGGACGTGGGCTAGGCAAGCGCCTGCCACGGAGCCACTTTTCCAGCCCCGATCCTCAGGATTTTTGGCTTAATTTCCCATAGTTTAGTGAAACTCAGCAAGCAATATGCTAATTTTTATTTGGATTTTGGGGGGAAGAATCTTTGGGCCTCACCACGCACCAGTGGATGGAAGGGGCTAGAACTGTTCGCTACTGGGTCCACACCAGCTCCCACAGCTTCCTGGCTGATGCCAGGGTTCTCCAGTGGTCCAGGGGGTGGGAGAACCAGCCTCTGAGAGTCCCTGGGTGACATGCTCCATCAGGTAGGTGACTGTCCCAACATTCAACATTCTTACTGTCAACATGGCAGAGGCGGTTGCTGCAGAGTGGCCCTGGGGCCAGTCCCTCTATGAACAGTAACTGCCAACCCTCCTGGCCTCTCCCTGCGCCCTCTCAGCTGGGAGCTGGCTCTTCTTTCCCTTGCTATCTGGTGGCTCTGGCTGAGCAAACGTGTCAGCCTGGCCAGTAGCAAGACCCGAGAGGGTGGGAACAGGAGACAGCCTGCCCTTGCTCTCTGGCTCCGCCCCTGCTCACGCCCCCAGTGGCCACATTCCCTTCTTCCAGAGACGAAAACCTGAGTGGAGAAAACTGAAGCCCTTCTCTGTTCAGGCTCCTCCTCCAGGAACTCCATTCTCAGTTGCTTCTTTGACCTTGACTCCTAAAACAAACCCGCTAAATAAAAGCAAAATTTCCATGTGGCTTTTCACCCAAGAAGAAAACAAGACACCGTGGCTCCAAACAACAGAGCAACCAGCTGTTGTGTGGCAAGTGGTGTGCGTAGCGGTCACTCCTGAGCACTTCATGCTACCAGGCAGTTTCTTTCCCCAAGTGGATGGACATCACGGCTAACCACACTTTGCCAGTGACAGCAAGAGCAGGATAGGAGACACCGGCTTCTGGAGAGTGAGCTCTTGTGACCCATGGAGCAGCAGCTTTTAAATGAGGTCCTGATATGTGGACAGAAGCACCTTTCCCATTGTGACCCAAGAACTAGTTTTCTATTTTTTAGATTTAGATACCTAATTTTGAAGTGTCACCAAAAGACACTTTACCATGTGCCAGGACACTTTCTATTCTGTTGGTTTGTTTTCTATTCTGTTCTATTACCTGATTTGCTGGTCCTCACTCACTAAAATGATTCACATTAGAACACAGCAGGCAGCTTAAAAATCACTCGAGTGGCCTAGCGAGGGTGGCACACAAGTTTTTTTTTTTTTAAATAAAATATTTTGAATGAACAAATCATACCTGCCTACACATTTATGTGATATAACACCATGTTTCATAAAAGATGAGGAATCATTTAATTTCCTCTCTGTAACCTCACTTATTTATTTACTTTCTCTTTTTGGTGCTGGAGACTGAACCCAGAGGGTGCTTTACCACTGAGCCACGTCCCAAACCCTTTATATTTCCTGAGACAGGGTCTCACTAAGTCGCTTTGGGCTTTGCTGAGTTGTTGAGGCTGGCCCTGAATTTTGCTGGGACCTTAACTATTGTTTTCTATGGGGAAACAGAAATTTTCTGTAAGTGATCTTAAAGCACAGTAAGCACCTCGATGGACGACCACCCCCGCCGTACGATGTTTCACAACTCGGCTGAAACCTTGAACCCGGGGCCAGCGCTTCTCACTCCCTGTCACCAGCAGCCCATCCAGCTCCGCTGAGCTCAGCTCTCCCAGATCTCACTGTCAGGGAGGTCGCGTGGCCTTGTCCCCGTGCCGCCTGCTTCATCCAGCACCTCCTCCAGGGTCCACTGTGCTGTCCTGGGCACAGGACTGCCCTCGCCCCGGACTGGAGGGTAATCCACTGTGTGTTCCCCGCTTGCTTCACCCATTCGTGGATGCAGTGATGTCCATTTCTTGGCCTTGTGCATGATGCTGCGATGGACATGTCCCCAGAGTTGGGGTCTCTGGATCAGATGGCAGTTCTGTCCTGTTTTGGGGGACCCTTGGCACTGCAGTGCTCCACTACCAACATGAGAGACGCCCTGCTCCCCGCATCCTCACCACCACCAAGACATGTTTTTTAAAAAGTGCATAATGAAGTACATCCTGGCTGCTTACAAATCCTTAAGATGTCCCGATAAAAGCAATGAGAACCTGTGGTGCTATCAGACCACAGCCATGCAGGGACAGACGTTAGCAGCAGGCGACGGGAAAAGAGGGAGAGAAGCGCGATGTCTCGTGCACACCATCCACCTCAGTCCATTTAGAGAGAAACCCCGGAGACAACCGAGATCCCAGACAAATGCTGAACGCCTCAGATGGAAAGGATACAGGTTCTACAAATCAGACTTACTGAAGAAAACGACTTATTTAGAAACCTGAAATCCAAGCAGGAGTAACAGGAGAGAAGGGTGACAGGCTGGTGAAAAGGTGACAGGGACCCTGAGGTATAGGACGGGCCATGTCCTGTGCGGGCAGTGCTGTGGTTCCTGAGGGGGAGGACTCCTAGGCTGTGGGTTCTAGAGGAGAGGGCTCGTGGCACAGGGGTCCCTCCAGCCCCAGAAGCCGTGTCCCGGGCTGTGGCTGCCCCCAGGACAGCAGAAGTACCACCAAGGCCGAGGGGCTGCGCTGTGAAATGCCGACCACTGCCCCTTCGGCCCCGCTCATCCCACTTACACGAAGCCCTGTCCCCACACCACAAGGGCCAACAACCTGGTGGCTCCCGTGGTTCAGATCAGCCAAGACGTCTGCCAGGGCGCAGGGACTGACGTTTGGTCTTCACGTGGCAGTTTCAACCCACCAGGGCTGCGGAGCTGGGCTTTCTGAACAACCCAGAGCTAAGGGTCAAGAGCCCACTCCCCCCCAGTGTCCCAAGGACAGTGGACGCAGCAGCACCCTCCAAACCCCAGGGCAAGTGTGCTGGGCCGAACGACACCAAGCACCTGCAACCACCCCGAGGAGAGCCCCCACCAGGCTGCTGGAGCTCTGCGGGACCACAGCAGGGGGCTGCCGCTGGGCACAGGGGTTCCGCAGGAGCCTTCCAGATCAGGGAAGACTGGCACTGCACCTGGACTTAGCAGAGGTGGCCACAGCCAAGAGAGTCTCTGTTGCTGTCATCCCAGGATTTACAGCAATCCTATTTCCAGCATCCCAGTGACGAGCATAGGGGGATCTGAGACAGGGTACGTGCAAGTGTTCCCTCTGATGTCCCCCTACAAGAGCCAGGTAGGCTGTGAGCCTTGCGTGACTGCTCACCAATGTGTCCCCACATATGTGCACCTGCAGGGCTCTGTCGGGTATGACAAAGAGCATGGGGAGTGGCGATTCCTCCTACAGGGCTTGGGGGAGGGCTCGGCCCAGGTCAGGGGACTCTCTCTGCCGGGCCAAGCTCCTGAGGAAACGCCCACATTTCCAAGCTGAGTCCTCCCCAAACCTTCTTAGAAAATGGTGAAGTGCTGAGCAGCCTTCGCCACAAGGAAGAGGAGCAGCTGCAGTGGCGGAGGCCAGGGAGCATGTGAGCCTGGGGTCACGTGGGGATGGTGCTGTGTCCCTGTTTGGGACACAGGTCACGCTCCCAACCTGCTAAGCCAACCTCTTGGGACACGATGTGATGAGGGGACTTACTTTGCAGTAGTTTCTTCATCGTATTTGGTTTTCAGGTCAAATAATTCTGTTCGAGTTTTTTCAAGGGCTGAAAAGACAAGGGCAGAAAACATGAGGTAAGATATTAACTGCTTAAGTCAAATGAAATAAAAGAACATACACAAGTAAAACGTCCCCATTTCAAAACAGACAAGAGGACAAAGGCAGGAAAAATGGGACAGAGCATCGCCACAACTCTACCTGGCCCAGTCCAAGCGCCTCCTAGGGAACTGATAGTTACTATGTAGATTTCCTGTTTTAAAATGTCTTTGTTTCAAAAATATTTCCACATGTAACTGCATACAGCCATGCCCCACAGTGACCTTTCAGCTGTATGAAAACGTACTATATACCGCCATGCCCAGTAGGTGACCCGTGATCACAGTGTGTGGCTGGTTGTGTGTTTAGTATGTTCTACTTTTATCCTTATTCTCCTTGTTTACGGAAGTCAGCTGTAAGGACAGTACACAGGTGACCTGGCTGCGGCCTTGCCTACCTCTGCTTTACACACCCCGTGCTGCAACCGTCAAGGGACGGACCTGTGCCTGGAGGTCTGTGTGAGGACATTCCCGTCCTCACATCTCAACAAAATCACCTGATGGCACCTTTCTCAGGACACCTCTCCACTGCTGCGTGGCCACTGCTGTCTACATACACAGGGACATGCTTCCCTGCCTCCCATCCTATGGGAGGATCGGAACATTTTCTGAGATCACCCCTTTGCCTTGGCCGAGTGGCATGGAAAGCTCTCATGTCAGGACACTGGTGACCACAGTAAAACCCAGCTCCACCTTCAGGCGCCCGAGAGGCACAGCTACTGGGGGAAAGCTCAGCGCTGAACCTTCCACCACCCGACCCTGCTGGCCTCCCAACAGGCAGCTCCCATCCCTACTTGAGTGTGACCTTTCTCCTAAGCCCTCACCAACACTGGGTTTTACCAATTAAGAAAAGAGCTGCCCACAGTCAGACAGACAGACCACCTTCCCGGGGTTTCTCTGACGGTCTCTCCCTGACGGCCACACAGCAGTTTTTTTCTCATGTGTGTGAACTGTTTACATGGTTTCTGTGAATTGTGTGTTCCTATCCCTGCTCATTATTCAGCTGGACTATTTCTCTGTTTTCCAGGATTTGTAGGTGGTCTTTAGACAAATGTAACCTTTTTCAAATCTGTGGTGCAGGGGAGGGGACGCAGCCCGGTGCACACAAGGCCAGGGCTCCACCGCTGACATGGTCCCCAGGCCTGCTTGATGTTGTCCGTGTCTGTTAAATTGCTTGTGATTATTTTCTCCCTGTCATTTTTTTTTTTTAACCTGGATTACGATGGCTTCCACTGTTCCTTCCACATGTAAATTGAAGATACATTGCTGCTTCCCTTTCAAAAAAGACATGAAAAGGGAGGAAAGAAAGAAGTTTAAAGAAACTGCCAACTTTAGCATAACCTTTTTTGGTATCTGTTAAATTTTAAAGGTTCTGCTATTACTGTTCTCTTTAACTTAGGGTAGAAATAAGTTTTTTCCCCCCTATTATTGTTCTAAATGAAATGTCAGTCCTTGACAGTTTGGTGATTTAGATGTGTTTGTTGGAAAAAAGAGCAGGAAGAAAGGATGGTGGTGGAAGGGATAGAAACGGCAGATCCTCCCACTCCACGCTGACAGCTCAACGTGTGACTAATGGAGTCAGGGGAAGGCAGCCTGGGCTGGAGGCACCGTGCACGGGTTCCGAGACCCTGCAGGCTCCACAGGGGTGACAGGTGGGGGCTAGGAGGCGTCTAGTCTCTTCAGCCTGCCCTACACCCACTGACCGGGGAGGAGGGGAGCGAACCTGTTTGCAGAGTCTGAAGTTTGTGTTCTGCTTCCTCCAGCTTCGAGGTGGTCGACATCTGAGTCTCTTGCAGCTGTCTGAAAAGCAAGAGAGTGGAGCCAGATTGGTCACCTTGCTCACCAACTGGATGCTTGGTGTGTCCTGGAGCTGCCCCCATCACTTGCTCCTTTGGAGGCACAGCTGGTAGCAGGCGCCCCATCAGCTGTCGCTCTCAATGCCCTGGGTGCTGTGGGGCCCCCTCGCCACCCTCCCAGCCCCCGCTTTGCAATTGCACATTACGTAACGTGAAGGGCGCACCGGGGACTTGACGTGCAGTAATTGGTGTGGAAGGTTATCCTAAATGCAACTTGTTCTTGAGATGCCAGATATTAAAAAGGAAGAAATGCCATCATCATGCACTCATTGTTTCCCGAAGTTAGCCCAGGAAGAGTGATACATTTACATTCTGCTGACACAAAGAAGGAATTTGTTGGGATAAAGGATGTACTAAAGAGATGTGACAGCTGTCCCATCTCGGTTATAATGGAATGCAAATGCGACTGTGGTGCCAAATGGGAAGATTGTGAACATCTCAAGCTGCATCCCACATAGTGATGTTTCCCATGATCTCCACACGGATTCCCTGGTCAGCGCCGGCATTCCTTCCTACTAATCTGCCCAAAGCTCTAAAAATAAGCTTATTATTTTTACATCATATGAATATAACATATGTTCTCAACATAATAAACCTGGGAATACAGAAAAGGAGAAATGATACAGCTAAAAAAAAAAAAAAAATCACTCAAATTTCCGTCACTTGTAGGAAAGCATTGCTAGTATCTCCATGAATTTCAATTATAAATCTAAGATAGGCTCAGAGTTTTTTAAAACATCAAATTTTACATGAGTGTGGAAATGTCCTCTCTTCTTTGGCTCCATTTCTACTCCTTGGATAGTTTGTATTTTTCTAAAATATTTTCCATGTATAGAAATTCAGTGTAATAAGTAACACACTAGAGTATAATATAAGCCAACATGCAACACAGTATAAGAAAATAAACTAATATTTTATATACTACAATGAAATATAAATGAATATGTAACATAATACAATGAACTCCCAGAACAGAACGTCATGTGACACAGTACAACAGAACGAAAACTAACCCCTAAGCCACCACAGGGTGACAGAGCACAGGAAATGTGCTACGGTGCAATCATGCCAATGACATGTGACATGAACTATGGACTTCGTACTCCTCCATCCTTTCTGGGGCTGGGGGAACTGAGCCCGGGGTGCTCCACCCTGAGCCACATCCCTAGCCTTTTCAAGTCTTTGAGACAGGGTCTCACTAAGTTGCTGTGACCCTCCGGCCTCAGCCCTCAGATTCTAGTACACAAGGGACCACAAGACCGTCCTGTGCAGCTTACTACTCTGCTTGCTCCCATGTTCTGGAAACCTCTGCTCTGCATCTGTGGCCATTCTTCATTCCCCTATGGAAACTCAAACCCTTCACAGTTTCTTTCTGTTAAAACGTTTCCTTGAGGATCTTTAAGTAGATACTGTTGCATAATTTCAAGAGTGAATTTGCTGGATAAAATTCTGACAGAGGAATTATAATGGTCAAAGACTGCAATTTGGTTTTTTGTTTTGATAGATATTGAAAGACTTTCCCATAAAACAAAACACAAACAAAAATACCTCATCAGTTTAAACTCCTACCAACAATATGTGAGAGGGTTTCATGTGCCCAGGTGGCAACGGGTAAAATCAAGCTTAACATTTTACTGCTGAGTAGTGTTGAACATTTTTCACTGTATGAAGTGCCTGCTTATTTTCTCTGCTCGCTTTTGTTAGGGTTGATTTTTTTCTTATTAATTTGTAAGAACTCTTTACTTATATAGAAAATTAGCCCTTGTCTTATTTGATGCACATATCTGTTCCCAGTTTGTTGATGTCTAAAACTTAATTGTCATTTGTTTTTTAAAAATGTATTTTAAATTTTAGTCACATTTCTATAACTTTTCTTGTATTCTGCGTGTGTGTGAGAGAGAGTGAGTGAGAGAGAGAGAGAGAGAGAGATATGGAGAGGGAGGGTGTGAAGTGCCCACCTCTTTGAGGAGGGCAGGAGGAGTTCACGTGTGCCCAGGGCCTTCCCCACGGAGGACAGTCATGGCAAGGACCAAGCTCAGGTTCGGCCACCAGGTACACCTTGTCAGCTACACATGCCTCGCGCTCATCCTCTGGCCCCATCTCCTGGTGCCACCCACCACTAGGGGAAGCCAGATTCGTCACACTCAAGGTCACCCCACAAAGTCAGGACCCGACTGCTTCTTTTTTTAAGCAAAATTTGAGCCGTTGGGATCCTGTTTATCCCCTGGGCTGTTGTCACAGGTGCATTTTTTAAACTGTCTCATGCCACAGTCAAGGGTAAAGGTGGCTGCCGTGCGAGCCGGGTCCACGCTCACCTCTCCTTCTCGGCAAAATCATTCTGCAGCTTGTGTTCCTTCTCGAGCGCGATCGCCTCGGCCTGGCTCTTCAGCGTCTGCTCGTATTCTCGTATTTTCTCTTTAAGTGCTTTTATCGTAACCTCTGCAGAGAGAAAGGAAAAGAGAGAAACTCCAACAAGAGAAGCAGGCTCCGCGGTGAGAACCAGCAGGACGGGCGCGCTCCAGACTTCAGCTCGTCCCCCGACACAAAATCAATGCCCAGAGTCCCTTTGGAGACCTTTCACTCCCTAACGTGGGCTGAACTCGCAGTGTTCGGGATGAGCAGGATCAATGGATTTTGCTGGGAAGGAGCGCTCTGGTTTCTCTAGCGCATTTTAAGAAAAGAGGGGAAATCAATGGTAAAATATGATATCGCCCTATTGACGAGTCTTAAATTAGTCCTCCACGGAGGGAAGATTAATAAAGTTTTAGTGTGGGTTTAAGGACTTTCTTACAAAGAAAGCAGTTCATCATGGTGGCTCTGTGGAAAGGAGGCCAGTCAGCAGGGAGCTCCAGGCGGTCAGGGGTACCGTGCGGTCTCTTCAGCTGGGGGACCTGCCCTGGGGTTGGGTGCTAGGGCACCCCCACCCAAGTGGATGTGGATGCGTGTGCAGAGCAGATGACGCAGGGCCTGGGGAAGACACTCAGGCTGCTGAGGTGCTGTGGTGGCCTGGAAGTACCCTGAAGCAGAGCAGGAGAGCCAGGGCCTTGGGCAGCCACATGGGGGCCTGAAGGAGCCAGGTCCCTTAGGCGGCAGGGCCACCTGGGGAAGCTGAGCCTAGACAGCTCTTGATAGTCCCTTTAACTACCCAAACAGGAAACTAAAGCAAGTGTGACAAGTGGAATAGGGTCCTAACTCAGACCTGTGGGTGTCCTTCTAAAGATGTCCCTCCCCACCTCGATTTGCCAGTACTGTGATTGCAGTCTCAAGGGAGTAGGGCTCTTGGGGACCGTTGCCTGCTTTTCAAGATCCATCTCGGCAGGGCGGAATGTGTGCGCCCAGCACCCTGCAGAGTCGGGTGCTCAGCCCGGGTGCTGCACAGGTGTTTCCAGCCCAGCGCTACAGGTAGAAGTGCCATGCATCCACATGGTCACAAACACTATGGGCTTGAAAAGACATAGTAGGCATTTTCAGAGTGGACCTGTCTGGTGTCCGCTCTGGAAGCGACCTGTTTTCGCCTGACCTTGGCCTGGCAGTATGGCTCGAGAATGATGTGTCACAGTATTGTCCTCACACAGCTATTCTTCCAGGCCCCAAACGACCCACCCAAGGGGGTACCCTGTTTCTGCCCTCAAATGTCTGATGGAGCCATTGGCTTTCCTTTCTTCCTCTAAGGAAGGCCTGTGGGGTCTGACATGATGAGAAGGGCCAATTTCCTCTCTTCACAGAGGGCCCTCAGCTTTAGTCATGAGGGGGTGGCTTTCCACAGCTGGCTGACGTGGTCCCACCTGCACCCACAGGCATCCATGGGAATGCGTGGGCTGAGCATCCGGGAGGTAGCACTGGTGTGAGGGTTGGTGCCTGTTGCCGCCAGCCCTGGTGACACAACTGTTCTCCTTCCGAGGAGTCTGCGGTCTCACGGAGCTGCTGGGGCTGCTCACCCACCAGCAGAGCCCAGGCCAAGAGCATCTCATCCTGTCGCCTCTGGCCCTCCGCTGCTGCCTCCACCCAGGTCCAGGGCGTTCCCTGGCGTCTCCCCAGGTTCCCTAGCAGCAGGTAGAGGGTGCTGGCAGAAGGACACTCTTTGGCTATGCTCACACCCCAAATCTTGTGAGTGACAGGCAAGGGCTCTACCACTGAGCCACATCCCAGCCCTTTTTACTTTATTTTGAGACAGGGCCTCACTAAGTTGTCCAGGCTGGCCTTGGACTCGTGACCCTCCTGCACCGGGACGGCAGATGTGTGCCATGCACCCGGTTCTGCTCTGACTTGACCAGCATACTAAAGCTCTGACAGGGAACAAGTCAGGTGCACCCCCGCCCTTCCCCAGATTAGGGAAATCCCTTATCAATAATGAAGAAGGGGGAACTTCTGGCAAAGCAAGTTCTAGAAGAAGCTGATGCTGGCTGAGGATCCAGCCGCCCTCAGGTACTCCTCCAACACCCTAAGTGGGGAGGACGAGAGCTGCCCCTGAGAAGGCAGCTCCTGACGAGGCAGGGCCACCTCCCAGGGCCACAGGGTTAGACAGTGACAACCAAGGGACCCGACCAGGTCTCTGCCTCTGAAGCGTCCATTCTTGGGGCTTGGATGTTGTATTTCATTTTATGAAGCCCTCAAAGGGGCTGCAGGGAGAGAGCACTCCATGCTCTTGGGGCTGGTGGCTGGCTACCCTGTAACGCCTGGCAGTGGATGACTGCCACACAGGGCAAGGCGCAGGGCAAACCACGGGGCCTGGGCGCCTATGGTGCCACCCATCAGCACACAAGAGAGGCTCCACGAGAATCCAGAGTGGTCTGTTGGAATTAGACGCCAGAGGCCACTGAGGGAACAAATAAAAAGGCTGCCCTTGCCGTGGGACATCACCTCCGGGCAGACCAGAAGGACCAGGTTATCCTGCACATTGGGACCAGGGTAATTCTGACAAGAAATGACTCCTACTCGGGGAAGGGAGCACCTTCTCTCAGAAGGATCCCAGCTTATTAAGCCCAATGCTTGCTTTCAATCTGGAAAGAGCTGTCCCTTTGTGTCCCCAAGGCCCACCTGAGCCAGAATGGGGTGGGGTCTGGGGTGTGGTCTGAGTGGCCTGGTTCCCCCAACCACCCCAGCTGTTCCTTGGCCCCAGCAAGAAGGCCCTGCTGGCCCGAGGGCCTGAGCACACCAAGGCCCATGGGACACGCAGAGACCCGGATGGTAGCCGCTGCCCTCACGACCCAGGCCTGTCTGTCCGTGTGCTCCTTCCACACCTCCCAGTCTCTCCTGAGACCTCCAGTGGGTAGCTCCCCCAGGGCTGACCCCAGCGCTCACCACTTAGCCCTTCATCAGCCCTAACCCTAACCCTATCAAGCAGGAGGCTGAGAGGGGCCGCTGAAGGCTGCCTCTCCTACCCGAATCCTCACGCCATTCCCAGGCAGAAACAGGCTGAGCTGTGACTTGGGAGTTAGTGGAAAACTTGCAACTGCTGCCAGAGGGGACATGGAAGCCAGGAGGCTCCGGGACTCTGCACACAACTGGGTTTTAGGCACAGGGAAGATTTCTTTGTTCCTCCTTGACAGGAAAAGCCAGGCCACCTCTGCCCCGTCTGCCGTGCTGACACTGGGCAACCACACCAAGGAGCTGTTTTCTTTCATTAGATTCGTAATGAATAGGTGAGGCCCACAAGGAAGGCCGTGCGTAAGTGGCAGCCTGTGCGGATGCGTCTCGTCTGGAGACGTAATGGATCGGCGGCAATTACTAAATGACTTGCTGTGTGTGACCCTTTGATCATGAGCTGGCTCTCTGACAGGTGGCGCCCGGAGGCAACACATCAGTCTTTTAAAAGGCAGATTGTATCACATGATATACAAGAGGAATTTTCAAAGAATTCTGATCAGCCCAGGCTGAGGGCAATAAAATCATACATAGTTATTGGGCAGAGAGAAGTTTAGCTTCTAAATAGCTAAGCAGCATCATTATCCCTCTTTAACGATTCTGCTCTCGCCCCACCCTGGCCTCCTGACGTGGATAACAACCACAGGCATCTTAACAGCATGGGAGGCAACAGAGAAAACAGAAGGAGGCCAAGCAATGAACCCGTCTCCCACCAACCTTGGTTTTTCACTTCGGCGAATTCCTTGTTGTATTCTTCGAGCGTCTCCCTAAGTTTCTGGTTCTCTGTTTCGATGTCGTGCAGGCGTTGCACTTTGAGCTGCAGCTGCTGCCCGAGGTCCAGAGCTGGCACAGGATCTGCACAGGAGGACAGCACACGTGAGCCTGGTCTCCGGAGCAGAGGCGTGGAGCAGGCCTCCAGGGCGCCCAGCAGGACCCCACTGCAGGCTCCCCTGGGGACATTTCTCTTCCAGCCTGGGATAGGGTGGGGGGCTTCTCAGTGCTTGACACAAGGGAAGAGCCACCCCAGGACTGTCAAGGTATGAAGACAGGTGGGCACAGTTGAGGGACTCACTGGTGTCTGCCAACCCTCTGGCCTGGTGCAACACTGGGATAACTTCACTCTGATCTGACAGGAAGGGAAATGCGGGCAGTGAAGGAAGGAGTCCCAGAAAAACCCATCACACATGGCTGAACCTGGAGGACTGTCATGGAGATGGAAGTCACACCTAGTACTCCAAGAGTGGCATGTGGATTGCAGAACAATGTAATGGACACTTTCTCATCTGAGCCTCCCCACATTGGGAAAGAGATATAGGACAGAAGCTAAATCTAAAGGTCCAGGATGCAGAGGCATGGGCCCAGAGTTGCCTGGCTAGCTGGTGGGCACAGGCCAGGTGACCGAGAGACGAGAGAAACCCCAGGCTGTGTGGGAGGCTACCCTATTTCAGCACAGGATCCCTCTTCCTGGCTGTCCTGCTTTGCTAATGAAGGATGCCAGGAAGAGCCAGGGGGAGCAGCTGCTGATCCCAAGACTGAGATCTTACAGAAGCACAGCTGGTGACCCAGCACCACCCTGTTACAGGCTAGTGTCCAGAAAGAAGCCGGGAGGCTACCAAGCTCATGACAGAGCAGAACAGCATCCAGGCCAGGCCTGCAAGGTCTTGTGGCCAACTGAACATGCTATCTGCAATGAATCCCCTTAACACTGGACTTTAATCCAAAATTGGAGATTGCAGATGTGCAATTTACAAGGCTGACTCATGGCCTTCGGCTTTACCATGGATACAGCCCGAGATGGACAGACATGAGATGTGGTTCTGTCAGTTTGAGAATCATGGTTCCTTCTGCAGCCTACAGAGCGATTATTATCCACCTGCTGGGCACCAGTGAGGCACTTCCTTTAGAATTCTCAGGCTCCGTCAGAGCAGAATACCCAAATCCACAGGGCCTGGAAAGACTATTGAACTTATTTCTGGCTTGGGCGCCAGTGTCACTTGTGAGCCGGCTGCGGAGATTTAGTCTCCCGTGGAGGAATGCTAAACACGGGGCTCGGCGGATCAACAAGGGTGTATATTCAAGGCCTCGCTTAATTTTCAAATGCCAGAGTCATTAATTTTTTAGACCACCCTTGGTTCCTGGAAACCAGGGCTGGGTCTCCTGCCTCAGTGAGCGCGTCCAGCAGGGCCAGCAGCTCTCGGCGGTGCCGCTGTCCCTGCGGAGCTTACAGCAGCAGGCCCGGCCAGCAGAGCCACGTGCGGGCTTCCCCTGGCGCTGCCCGTCACGCACAGCCCTGCCCGCTCGCTGGGCACTCCTCCTGCGCGTGCGCATGTCTACGGCTTTCTCATTTATGACTTTTCATGATTATTTTAATCAGCATTAAAATATTTATGTTAAATTAGAACTCAAAAGCTATTTCGGGGAGATGGTTCTACTAAGCAGGAGTAGTAATAACAAGACAAATGGCATCTCGGAACCTGCCAGGTGGGATGTTTTTCTAAATGTTTTTTAAAATTTCAGCTCCTCTCTGGTCAACCTTGTGCCCCTCCCCTACTTCCACAGCCTGGAGCTGGGCAAATGACCGGAAGGACTCGGCCTCTTCCACCTGGACCTAGGGTGCACAGGTCCCCAGTCAGGGAAAGGACAGCAGAGCCAGCCTGGGAAGGTGGCTCAGGCCCCTCAGACGGGCTTTCCCCCACGACAGCTAGGATCAATGGTATTTAAAAAAATTAAGCCCCCACACTGCAGGCCCTTCCCCTTCCTGTCAACATTTCCAGCAGGTTCTTTTTAAGTAGACAGGACCCACTGTGTTGGCTCCAAAGGGAAAAAAATAGCTTCTGGGCAATTTAGCCAGGAATCGGGGACCTATGAAAATAAGTCACGTGTTACCAAGTGAATGGCAACTAGACCTTGAGACAAATTTTCAGAGTGTTGTACTGTAAATGAAAATTCTGGTAATCTCCTAATTACTCACTGTGGCATCTACTTTTGACTTAACCTATTAGAGGTTAATGCCCAGTAGCAATGCCGGTCACAGAACAGGGAACAAACTGAATGTTCAGCTCCAAACTTCACTGCAGTTGAAGACTAAATGCTGACGGCATTTGAATACTGTTTTGGGATATGTAAAAGGCGTTGCTAAAGTAGCTCTTAGGCTTAATTTTTATTACTTGTATTAAAGAACAGCTAATTTACCACATGACAATATAATGACTCTAGCATGTTTGGGCTGGAGACCAAAACAATGAATTTCAGCCAAACCCCAACCTGCATGTTAATCTGGGGAAATCATAGCTTTTTGTCTCGTTAATGATTTCCAATGCCATTTAACCCCCTAAATGTATCGTTAGGTCTTTTTCTGCATGTCACAAGCCTCCAATCTCAGTAGCATGGTTAGGAATCGTCTGGAGCAGGTGAGAACAAATCCATCGTAAAGAGGACTGTGCAGACCCCGAGGCCCTGTCCCCCAGCCTCCTCCAACTCCATGCAGTTTGCCACCAGCTCCATCTGCCTGATGTGACTAACTTGCAAAGTGTTTTACAGTCACCTGACGATCAGTTCCTGAAATGCTCTGTGGCCCACTGTGCAGCACAGGTCTCAGCATAATCATAACCACCACCGATGCCGTCACCTGTATTCATTCAGCGCCTTTGCTAAGGACACATACCATGATTTCATTGATTCCGCCATCTCGGGCAGAAGCTGGGGGAGGGCCCTGCAATGTCAGGTGCTGGCATCTCCCCCAGGGACAGGGGAGGAACGAAGCCAGCCAGGCAAACAGGTACGCAAAGCTCTAATTAGGAACTCTGCTTCCCGAGCCAGCAGCCAGCTCAATCACACTGCCTCTCCAAGTACTAATTTAACAAGCATTTCCGAAGCGACTCTGCTCTGGGCAAGGCCTGGGTTAGGCTCTGGGACAGATGCTTGGCTAAGTCAGCAGAAACCAGCCCACAGTAGGTAGATCAGGTGCAGAAATAACGAAGGCAAGGCAAGAGCACCCCACTGAAGGCAGGGAACCCAGCAGCAGCCCCAATAGGGTTCCTTCTAGGCAGAGGTGACACCTGGGCACCTCTGCCCTCGTAGGCACACAGAACTTGGGCCCACGGGGGCTGCGGGCTCAGACGAAGCAGGCAGAGGAGCAGGGAGTGTGAAGTGCCAGACTTAATGGTCCGTGGCCGATGTGCATTCTATGATGTCAGCATTGTCCTGGCCACCAAGGGGACATGGTGGTGAGCAGGCCTGTCCTGGGGACTGGGGATGCATCTCAGTGGTAGAGCATGTACCTAGCTCATGTGAAATTCTGGGTGGGGAAGCTTGACATTCTAGTGTAGTGAGAGAGACAGACAGAAAGCAAAACCAACAAGACAGAAAACCTCCATATACTACCAGGTGTGCAGGAAGGAAGTGGAGCTGGACATGAGTCACTGGGGAGGGGCGGGGTTCTGGACAACGGGCTGGAAGGCTCCAGGCTCCAAGGAGATGAGCCAAGAAGGAAAGCTTGTGCTGAAGAGGAGCTTGTTGAAGAAGATTCACACTAAGCAGAGACAGCGGCCAGTGCAAAGGCCTTGTGGTTAGTGGAGTATGGCACATTCAAGGCAAAGAGGGAGTCAGGGTGGCTGCTGTGGAGGGATTGATATAGGAAAAGGTCAGAGGGAGGAGGCCTGTGGACAAGGATGTAAAGAAAAATATGATCACAATGAGAAGAGAACTTGAAGATGTGAAGCAGTGAAGCAGTGCCAGAATGAACCCTGGGGCCGAAAACGCAATGTCTGAGGAGCCAAAGGACCCAGCAGGAAAGTCATGGCAGGAGATGGATGGCTCTCAGGGTGAGGCGCCGGGCGGTGTGAGGAGACACCGTGGGACTCTAGACCACAGAAGGTTGGCTTTCCACTGGCAAAGTAGTTAAGAGTTTAAAGCTTAAGGATGAGCGCCATAATTTTCTTTAACAAAAGCCATGTGTTCCAAATTAGTTACCTTGTTCTCAGATGGCAAATGGCTCACATCAGTGACATGCTTCCTAACAATGATGAAAAACCAACATGACGTCTCTAAAGTAAAAACGATGCTTTAATCCTCAATGGGAAAAAGTCGCTTCTTGGAGGAAACTCAAAGCTATAGTGAGGACAGTTCAAGAGCAGATTTTGGAAATGTCCCTACCATCGTGTCCCCGTATGTGAAAAGGTGACATCATCCTCTATTAACTGTCCCACACCCCATGCTGCACCTGGGAGAGGGCAGCACAGTGATTCAGTGCGGGCTGGATGTCCCGTGTGCGCCCCAACAAGCCATTCACTTCAGGGTGGCCTAATAACTGCCGAGATGGTGAGGCTGTGGTGGGGACTCACAGGGACAGCTGCCCAGCAGGGAAGCGCTCAGCACTCAGTAAGTGCTACCTGTTGTCTTCCAACTCAAACCTGACTAGACATTTGCCAAAGAGGCTTCAAACCATTTGTCACTAATATAAAACCACAGCAGCGTAGCAATAAAAAGTGACTATCGGGAAAATGAAAATGTAAGAGTTTCAACAAGTAACTTTTCCTAACTGTACACAAGTTTTGAAAATATGAATCAGGTTGTAACCAAAGCCAATAATGAACTTCTTTGGGTTGGATTTACTTGTCTTTGGGAGTTATCTTTTCAGGCCTTTATAACAAAATCCACAAAACCTGGAGACTCCGTTTCCAGTCACAACCGATTCCTGGCCCTGGACTTGCCCTCTGGCCACCAACAACCAGAAAGCCGGGCAAAACCCAGGAAAGAACGCGTGACCGGCAGAGCAGGACTGTGGCCTGAGTGAAGTGACCGAGAGCCTCAGCCAGCAGCTGTCGACCAGGAAGTGCTTTTTGAACAGTTGCTGC